CATTGCCACTAGGTGGGTATGAGTGATCTAGTTTCTCTACATCCTTGCCAGCATTTGGTGTTAATCACTATTTTCTGTTTTGACTGTTTTGATAGGTATGTAGCAATATCTCATTGTGGTTTTAATTTTTATTTTCCTAATGGCTGAGGATGTTTCATGTGCTTATTTGCCATTAATATGTATCTTTTTCAGCAAAATGTTTATTCATGACTTGTCCAATTTTCTAATTGGATTATTCGTTTTTGTTACTCTTGAATTTTGAGAATTCTTTATATATTATAGATAAAAGTTCTGTCTGGGCGCAGTGGCTCACGCCTGTCATCCCAGCACTTTGGGAGGCTGAGGCCGGTGGATCACGAAGTCAGGAGTTCAAGACCAGCCTGACCAACATATGAAACCTCATCTCTACAAAAAATACAAAGATTAGCCAGGCATAGTGGCGCGTGCCTGTAATCCCAGCCACTCAGGAGGCTGAGGCAGGAGAATCACTTGAACCCAGGAGGCGGAGGTTTCAGTGAATCGAGATCGCACCCCACTGCACTCCAGCCTGGGCAACAGGGCTACACTCCGTCTCAAACAAAACAAAAAAAACAAAACAAAAAAACAAAAAAGAGTTCTTTGTTGGATATACATGGTTTACAGCTTTTTTTCCCCTAGTCTTTAGATTGTCTTCTCATTCTCCCAACAGGGTCTTCTGCAGAGCAAAAGTTTTTAATTTTGATGAGGTTCAAGTTATCAGTTTTTCCCTTTGTTAATTGTGTTTTTCATGTCAATTCTGAGACCACTTTACCTTGCTACAGGTTGTGAAGGTTTTCTCTTACGTTTTTTTCTATGCCTTAATTTTTTTTTTTTTTTTTTTTACATTTAAGTTCATAATCCATTTTGAGTTAATCAAGGTTCAGGTCGAGGTGGTTTAATTTTTGTTTTTTGTTTTTGCCTGTGGATATGCTCAGTTGCTCTAGCAACGTTTTTTGGCAAGGAATGATGTTTTTTTTTTTTAAACTTTATAATGTGACCTTTTTTTAGTTTAAAGGTTTTTTAAAAAAATTTGACCATTGGGGTTTTAAGATCACAACCCTTGTTTTGTTTGCATTTGCCTGCTATACCTTTGTCTATGGTTTTATTTTCAACCTTAAAAGACTCTTAGTTTTAGATGCATCCATTTACATTATAGAGTTGGGTTTTGTCTGGTGATACAGTGTGGAGGTCTTTTTCTTTTACCTTAGTGAGTTTAGCCCACTTAATATTTGTTGATATGAAAGAAGTTGGTCTGTTTTGAAACCATTTTTTTTTGGCTTTTGGTTTTTATAATTAATTAAAACCTTTCACTATGTGATACATTTACTTTGGGTCAGTTATTTATAGGTTGTGTTGGTATGAAGGCATATCTTCCTGTGTTCCAGGCTAACTAGAATTTTCCTTATGATTCAGGATTTTGTGTGTGAATTTGTTTAGCTGTTATCTTTTCCCAGCCAGTGGGGCTAGGCAATTGTATTTCTTTCACAATACAAAACTTCCCCCCAACCCCCTTGCCATAGGAACAGAACATTCTTTGTAAATAGTGCACTTCTGAATAATTTCTTTTTAATTTCTGCCTTCTCTCTTTTTTTATTGGAACCAAACTGAGGAGCTTCTGCCTGTAGCTGTGCATCTTGTTCTCATTGTTACAAACTTGGGTTTTAAGTTTTACACTTGGAAAAGTTTACCTTGTTACCTCTTTGTGAAATAGGCAGTTTTCTTGTTTTGCTTCCACTTTTTGGAGCCCCTGTGTAATCTCCATTGCTTTTGAGAGTGCCTCCACATAATCTGATGGTTGAGTTTTAGTTATATCTCTGTTTTACCAGAGAAGGAGTTTGCATTTTTATTTTTGTTCTCCTTGTTTGGATTATTTTTAAGAAGAGAAGGGGGAAGTGGAGCTTATGCCACTATTCTCTAACTAGAGGTTAGTAATAGTATCCTTAATATCTTCAATATCTTCACAAAGTATGTTGCTATATTTTAGTAAGTTATTTTTAATTATTGGGAGAGCAAAACCTTTGTTGGGATAACTAAAACAGAGTCCTGAAGTACTTTAGTTCTTTTTCTAAATTTTATTTAAAAATAGAAAAGGGCTAGGCATGATGTTTTATGCCTATAATCCCAGCACTTTGGGAGGCTGAGGCAGGAGGATCACTTGAGGCCAGGAGTTCAAGACCAGTCTGGGCAACATGGTGAGATCCTGTCTCTACAAAAATAACAAAAAATACCGAAGAACTTCATTTAATTTAGCCCTAAAGAATAATAAATTCTATGTGTTTTACCTTTTCAAGTCTTGAAGACTTGACATATGGAAATGTCTGTTGTTTGATAGCTCATGTTATCCAGGAAGAATTCTGATAAAAACCAGAGGAAGAGTTTATTGTCCACAGAGAGGATTTAGTGAGTTTTATTTTGAAGACAGTATATTTCAATTTTTGTAGTATTCACACTGACAATTATATATGCTTTTTGAAAAGTATCTACTCATTTAAGAAAATTTCCTACAGAATTCTTGCCACTATCTCTGCAATTCCATCTTTTTTTCCACCTGTTTTCTTTCTCTGAATGCTTTTTAAAAGTCTTCTCTTCCAGCCTGCTACTATTTCAGTGGGTTTGCACTGGAGAAGTGATATGAGACTTTTCTATTATTGTGGGATCCTTGAGGGTTATGGGCATTATGCTTAACGTATATTCTCTTATCTCCCTTCTCTTGGTAAGGACAAAGCCTGGTGTTTTTTGTACTTTTAGGTAATTAATCTGGTGCTAGTTATTTGGTGTTTTCATGTCACAAAAATAAGTCATCACAATATTTAAAAAAGTGTATTATCTATTCCTGTGTAACAAATTGCCCGAAAACTTAGTAGCTTAAAACAACAAATGTTTATTATGTCTCAGCTCTTGAGGATCAGGAATGTTAAAAGCAGTTTAGCTGGGTAGTTCTGTCTCAGGATTTTTTGTTCGTAGGTAAATTGCAGTTAAGCTGTTGGTAGGGGCCACAGTCATCTCAAGGCTTAACTAAATCCACCCAATCACTGTAGATAAAGTCATGGCAGATCTTTACTCCCTCTGCTGTTATCAGATCTCCAGCTCACTGCTAGACATAGAAATAGACTGCTGTTTCTTTTTGCTATCATCAGCAATGGCATTTTCAATCCCCCTGACTTTCTTCATTCTGTTCTTGTGTTCCTTTTGCTTTTCCCTTGAGGTCTTTTTCTTTCCATATAGGCTATTTTTTGGCAAGCTTATGTTTAGTTTCCTTTTTCTTTGTATAATCCAGGAATTTATAAATCATGCCAAAGCTAATTGTCTTGCCATCACCAAAATGGGTTCTGAATTCAAATCCCAAGATATCTGGTGTGGTCTTACTCACGTTGGCTGATTTTTCCCTAATCTACTTCTGAATTCACACAGGCAGCTATTAGCAGGTATCAGTTCTTTGCTGAGTGTTTACCACAGCTCTTTCTTCCTCACTGCGTGGACCTTTTCCTTGACTTCTTTGACTGTTCTCATATCATGACAGCTGTCTTCTCACAGAGCAAGTAATCCAGGAGAGAGAAAGACAAGTGAAAGAGTAGGTCCAAAATGGAAGCTGCAGTCCTTTATAACTTAATCTTGAAGTGATACACTGTCACTTCTGCCATGCTGTTGGTCGCACAGACCAACATTGGTGAGAGAGGACTACACAATGGTGTGAATACCAAAGGACAGGGATCACTGGTGACTACTTGCAGGTTGACTCCCCAAAATAGCAATCTGTATTTCAGAGTGAAGAACTAATTTTCGTACTTATATTCTGAAGGTATTTCCAGTAAATCGATTTTTTTTAAAAAACTTTTTTTTTTTTTTAAAACAATCGATTTTTTTTTTTTACAAGAGATACAATGTATGTTTTAAGATGATGAATAATGTTTATATACTTCTTTCTTTTTTTTCCTTTTTTTTTTTTGAGGCAGTCTTGCTCTGCCGCCCAGGCTGGAGTGCAGTGGGATGATCTTGGCTCACTGCAACCTCTGCTTCCTGGGTTCAAGTGATTCTCCTGCCTCAGCCTCCCAAGTAACTGGAACTACAGGCATGTGCCATCACGCCTGGCTAGTTTTTGTATGTTCAGTAGAGATGGGTTTTCACCATTTGGCCAGGCTGGTCTCAAACTCCTGACCTCAGGAGATCCACCTGCCTCAGCCTCCCAAAGTGCTGGGATTATAGGCATGAGCCACTGTGCCCAGCCTTATGTACTTATTTCTGCCAGGTTCTATGGAGAAGAGGTATTTTGCTACGTTTACATTGAATTTAGGAGATGACCCTGACAAGTTTGTGATGAGGATTATTCATTTAGTTTCTTTTAATTCTTTCAATTCATTTGATGTCTTACTAATGCAAGGCCTAAAGAATTATCCTTATAAAATCTTTGGAAGGAGATATTTAGCTAATTTTACTTATGAAGTATTTATTTGAAGGTAAGGTTTTTGTTTATTTTTCCCCCAGCTAGCTTAATCTCTTAGAGTAGAGACTGTCCCTCTATTGTTAAATAATAGGGAAGGAGTAGCAACTTATATGTGTGTAATGCTCTTACATTTGTAAAAGCATTTTTCCTTAATGTGTGGGAATAGACAAATTAAGTTTTTGGAATTGATGCTTATTTAGTAAGGGATTCTAATATTCTCAGTCTTTTGAGGGGTGCATAGATTCCTTTCAGACTGATGAAAGCAATGATCTTTCCAGAGAAATGCACTTATGCACACAGAGGTAATTTTGCAATTTGAGGGGATAATCAGAAGGTCTGTGGACTTTAGGTTGAGAACTCCTCCTTTGAAAACACAGGTTCTGATGTTCTCTGGCAGAAATTAAATGCTTTTTAGTTTTCTATATATAAAGGGAAACAATGTACCTAACTCTAATTGGAAATATATGTTTTCATTTTACATGGCTTCTCATTTGCTTTTTCTAATGATGTTTTTTGTTTTGGAATTTTGCTTCCCCTTTAGCATCTGGAGCATAAGAACAGTACTTATTTTCTTCTTTTCCAAGAGAACAGAAAGAAATAGTAAGTTTAATTCCAATTTTTAATAAATGTTTTAAAAATACCTATCTTAGAGTGTGCTGGTAAGACAGGTTGTAAAATATGATCTTGGAATGATAATGTGGTAAGTATGAAGAGTTATTTATTATAAAGCATGATGAAGGTTATAAATGATCAAGATGGTTCTGTTTTTAATTCGTGTTATTTCTATCTTGTTCATTTAGATTTTTTTTACACAAAACAAACTTTTTTTTTTTTTTTTTGAGAGAGAGTCAGGGGGATAGGAAGAGCCTGTCGCTCAAGCTGGAGTGCAATGGCATGATCTCGGCTCGTTGCAATCTCCACCTCCAGGGTCAAGCGATTCTCATGCCTCAGCCTCCAGAGTAGGTGCATGCCACCACTTCCAGCTAGTGTTTTGTATTTTTATAGAGACAGGGTTTTGCCATGTTTCCCAGGCTGGTCTCGAACTCCTGAGCTCAGGCAATCCACCTGCCTCGGCCTCCCAAAGTGCTAGGATTACAGGCTGGAGCAATGGTGCCCAACCAAAACAAACATTTTTAAATAAAGAGAATTTATATTTGTTAAATTAATGTTTATGGAAAACTTAGTTTGTTACAGAGTCTTGTTTCATTTTTACCTCAACCCATTTTTTCACCCCATATATTATTTTGAAGTATATCCCAAATGTATCTCTCCATTTTCATACCTAGAAAAGAATTCTTAATATCATAAAATATTAAATATAAAAATATTAACTTTTCAGTTATCTCATAAGTATCATTTGCTTTTAAAAAATTTTTATTTGTTTGACTAAGGATCCAAATAAAGTTTGTACAAATATTAATGTATGATTTTCAAATTGCCCTCCTCACTCACAACCTCTCTTCTCTTCTGCTCACATTAGGTCCTATAATCTACCCCAATGACTATTTCCTTGCTGACGCTCTTGACCCTTTTGCTCCTCCTTCTCATCCTACTTATCTGTCAAAACCTACCCTCTTTAAATACAATTATATGCCTAATCAATGACTGGCAAAACAGTATTCTGATTAAATACATTTACAGGTTTAATCTCATCGAAGTAGCTAAACTTATTAGAGGAAAATCATACAACATACTCACCTGACCAAACTTATTTTAAATCTATGATTGCAGGTATCAAATATGTACTTAAAACTGCCTTATGTTCCTATTATAGTTCCCCAGTAAATTCACCTTTTTCTCTGTCAGCGTGATGTTTATTACTGTATTTCTCCTCAAATCACTAATACCTGCCTCCTACCAAAAACCAACAATCAAATCTAACCAAACTGAAACCAGCCAACCAGCTGACCAAATAAAAAAGCCAAAAGTCACAAACACAAACCCTGCAACATCTACCTGGTCACTCTTAACCTATAGTCTTACTTTATACAGAAAATAGATGTAAACAGATGAGAGCTACCTATACCACCAAGTGAAGTTGTCCTTCAGTATCTGTGAGGGATTGGTGCCAATACCCCCAAGAATAAAAATGGTGTAGAATTTGGATGTAACTTACACGTCCTCCTGCATACTTTAAATCATTTGTAGATTACTTGTAATCTCTAATACAATGTAAATGCTGTATAAATAGTTGCTATATTGTATTTTAAATTTGTAATTTTTATTGTATTGTTATTTTTAATTTTTTTCTGAATATTTTTGATCCATGGTTGATTTAATTCCATGAGTGCTGAACTCATCCATATGGAGGGCTGAATGTATGTAAAGTTAGCTCTGTCTGTACTCAGTAGGGTCTCAACCTTCATTATATTTTGTAAGACTGGCCTTGATCTCATCTATGGCTAACCGTCATTTAAGCTCTGGATTTTAAATACTCTGGCCATCTCTAGAGCTTTGCTCTTATAGTTATCTCCTGTAGTTATCATCTCTTTTGCATCATTTTCTATTTTATTATTCCTATTGGCATATAATTCTGCCTCAGTATGACTATTTCGGGGGGAGGAAAACCTCTCCTGACCCTACATTTCCTTTAAGCTACCACCCATTTCTCTTTCTTGTTCAAAACAAAAATTTTTAAAAAAATTGTTTATAGTTGGTATCTCTTCTTTTCCCCCACCTACTCCTTCTCAGCATGATTTGTTTAGGTTTTGTTTCCACCATTTTTACTGCAATGGCTCATTTCAAGGTCACTCATTATCTATGTCTTGTCAAAGCCAGTAATCAGCTCCCTTTTCTTATCCAGCTTGATCTCTTAATAGTATTTGAATTAATTAAGTTATTCACCCTTTTTCTGAAAACTTTTTATCTTTAAGCTTCATTGACAACACTTCACTGGTGGTTTCTTTTTAGTTTTATTTGCCTTCTTCTACTAGAATTCTGTCTTTGGCTTTCTTTTTTTTCGGTAACTTGTTTGAGTCTGTGCTGTCTGATAGAACCTTCTATGATGATGAGAATAATCTGTATCTACTGTTCTATACGGTATCTGCTAGCCATTTGTGACTGTTGAGCACTTGAAATGAGGCTAGTGTAAATGAAGTACTGGATTTTAAATAGCTTAAATTTAAATAGCCCCATGTGGCTCCTGGCTATTATTTATACATTGGACAGTACATCTCTAGGTGATTTTATTCACTTCCACAGATTTAAATATTGCCTATTTGTTAATAATTCCCAAATCTAAGTCCTTAGTCCATACTCTTCCCTTCAGCTATAGACTTGTATATTTAACTGTGTAATTGACATTTCCACTTAGGAGTTTAGTAGGCATCTCATAAGTAACATGGCCAAAAGAGAATTAATATTGCTCCTCCCCTTTATTCCCACTTGTTCATATCTGCTCTTCTGTTTGTCTTCTCCATCTCAGAAATGCTTACGCTATATGACTACTAGTTAAAACTTGTATTAGTTAGGGTTCTCCAGAGAAATAGAACCAATAGGAAATATTATGAGGAATTGGCTCAAGCAATTATGGAGACTGAGAAGTCCCAAGATCTGCAGTTAGCAAGCTGGAGACCCAGGAGGGCTAATGGTTTAGTTCCAATCTATGTCCGAAGGCCTGAGAACCAAGAGAGCCAGTAAGTGTAAGTTCTTGTTTGAAAGCTAGCAGGTTCAAGACCCAGAAGGAGCTGATGTTTCAGTTTGAGTCTGAAGGCAGGAAAAGATAGAGGTCCTAGCTCCAGGGAGTCAGGCATGGGGTGTTCTCACTCTCTGGAGGGGGGAGTAAACTTTTTGTTCTATTCAGGCCTTCAGCTGATTGGCTGAGGGCCACTTCATTAGGAAGAGCAATCTGCTTTACTCAGTCTACTGATTGAAATGCTAATCTTACCCCAAAGCAACCTCACAGACACCCAGAATAATGTTTGACCAATTATCTGGATACCTTGTGTGACCTAATCAAGTTAACACATAGAATTAACCATCACGAGACCAAAAACCTGGGAGCTATTTTTGATTCTTCTTTCATATTCATTCACATTACCAGCAAGTCATATAATCGTTACCTCCAAAATGATCTTGAATCTGACCAGTTCTCACCTTCTTTACTACTACAGTTTTAATTCATTATCATCTCTTGCTTGCACAATTGCTTCTTCACTAGTCTGTTTTTAAGGTATAAGTCAGATCTTGTGTGTCTTTTGCTTAAAATTCTCTAATAGCTTCCCATTGCAACCAGAATGAAATCTGAATCCATATCCTGACTTTCTAGCTTATTCCTATTTCTCCAACCTCATCTTTCACTCTCCTTTGTTCACTTTTGCTCCAGCCACAGTGGCCATCTTTTTGTACTACAAACAAGTTCCCTGAACCTTACAGTTTCGTTTCTTTCTTTCTTTTCCTTTCTTTCATTCTTTCTTTCTTTCTTTCTTTCTTTCTCTTTCTTTCTTCTCTTCTTTCTCTTTCTTTCTTTCTTGCTTCTTTCTTTCTTTCTCTTTCTTTCTTTCTTTTCTTTCTTTTTTCTTTCTTTCCTTCCTTCCTTCCTTCCTTCCTTCCTTCCTTCCTTCCTTCCTTCCTTCCTTCTTCCTTCCTTCCTTCCTCTCTCTCTTCTCTTTTCTTTTCTTTTCTTTTCTTTTCTCTTTCTTTCTTTTTCTTTTCTCTTCTTTCTTTTCTGTTTTTTTTCTTTTCTTCTCTGTTCTTGACGGCAGTCTTCACTCCGCCAGGCTGGAGTGCAGTGGCATGATCTCAGCTCACTGCAATCTCCATCTCTTGGGTTAAAGCAATTCTCCTGCCTTAGTCTCCCAAGTAGCTCGGATTACAGGCACCCGCCACCATGCCCAGCTAATTTTTTTGTATTTTTAGTAGAGACAGGGTTTCACCGTTTTGGCCAAGTTGGTCTCGAACTTCTGGCCTCAAGTGATCCACCTGCCTCAGCCTCCCAAAGTGCTGGGATTACAGGCATGAGCTACTGTGCCCAGCTGAACCTTACAGTTTCTTAATTTATAAAATGAGAACAGAAAAAATGAGTAAGACCTAGTATTTGATAGCACAATAGGGTGACTATAGTCAATAATAACTGTACATTTTAAAATAAAGAGTATATTGGATTGTTTACAATTCAGTGGATAACTGCTTGAGGGGAAGGATACCGCATTCTTCATGATGTGCTTATTTCACATTGTATGCCTATATCAAAACATCTCATGCACCCCATAAATATATACGGCAACTATGTACCCAGAAAAAAATTAAATGAAAACAGAAGTATTTGTTTTGATAGGACAGTTAAAAGTAGTAAATGTTACTACATATGAAAGCATATAAAAATTGCAAAGTGTTATGTAAACATGAGCTGATGGCACTGATTCTTCTTTTCTGATTCTTATTTTATTTCTCTTAAATGAGTTAGGACTCAGTACAGTATTCATTTGAAGTGGGAATAACAGGAGTCCTTGTCTAGTTCCTGATTTTAATAGAAAAGCTTTTAATATTTTGCCATTAAGTATGATGTTTGCTGTAGTTTTAAAAATGTTGATGCTTTTTATCAGATTAAGGAAATTTAAGCTTCTGATATTGTTTTTGGTGATATTTAGTAATATAGCAGATGGTGGAAGAATAGGAAGAAGTTTAAAGCAAATATGCTTTCTGACTGCAAGGAATAGCAAGATAGCAAAAGAAATATAAGAAACCCTTTTCAAGAGTCCTTTAGAACACTTCTTTAAGGAAATCAAATGTATGAATATTTTTAACTTATGTGATAAATAGGCAGATCTGGACTTGATTATTAAAAGGATTTTCTTTTTGCTTTAAAATATATTTCAGAGGTTCTTTCTGTTTTTAAGTGTACTAATTCATTTGAATAGGTATTACATGTATGTTTAAAATCGACTTTGTAAAAGATTGTCTTGCAGTCACATAGTATTTTTTTAAGCCTGAAGCTATTGGTCCTGTCCTTGTTTTTTATTCTTGATTATTTTTAGTTGTTTTGTTTTACAAGTTGGACCCTATATAAATTAAAGCAGGGATTGGTGGCTGCAGCCTGTAGGCCAAGTCCTACCCACTGCTTTGTACAGCTCATGATTGGCTTTTATATTTTTAAATTATTACAATATTAAAATGAATATTTTGACATGTAAAATGTATATGAAATTCAAATTTCAGTTTTTATTGGAACAGAGTCATGCTGTCTTTAACTGCGTTCATCCCACAATGGCAGAATTGAGTACCTGTGACTGAGTGTATGTGGTGCTCTCATCACTTCAGGCAGTTGTAGGACTAATCATTTCATCATTTCACATTGTTTTTCAACCGATGCAATTATAACTTGACGGCAGTTTTTAAGTGTCATGTGTATTGTTGTACTGTGACAACTTTATTTTATTTTTATTACCTATGCATACCCATCATGTAAAAACCAGAAAAGAAAAGTGGACTTTGAATGTTGCACTTTTAGTACATAATGGAATGTGGACTATTTTGTTATCGAAATGCAAAGCATTGTATTTTTTATGCAATGATGTTATAGCTGTGCTAAAGGAGTACAATATGTATTTGACATTACAATACTAACTACTCATCATCATATTCCCAACTCACAGAAAGCAATGGTCATAAAAATTAGAAAATTTAAAATGGAATATATTATTGCAGAATTGCTTCATGAAACTGAAAGGGAAAAATGGAGCTTCAGCCAAAGAAAGTTTCTGAGTGGCTTGTTTGTGAAGAAAGGGAGGCTATTTACCAATGATGAGTTAATTAAATTGTGTTTGATTGCTGCAGCAGAAAAAATGTGTTCAGGGAAAATATACTTAAGACTAGTAACGTTTCAGCAAGAACAGTTGCCTAAAGAATTGAGAAAATTCAGAAAAACAAACATGAGTAGTCAATTAAAGAACAAGGCAAATTATTTCAAGTGGTCTTCCTTGGCTGTGGTTGAGTTGACAGATGCTATCAATACCACTCAATTGTAGTTTGAGTTGTCAACGCTGAACTTGAAGTGACTGAAGAATTAGTCTCTATAAAAAGTCTTTGCAGAACAACTTTAGGTGAGAATATTTTCAATGAAGTTTAGAAAACAGCAATTTACTACAACCTGAAGTGGAATCTGCTAAGATGTACTGTAACTACTCATGGTAAAAATATGTATGTAGCAGAAAAAGACTTAGTTGTACAAATTGTACAAAACTTTTGAAACTGTAAGGTGTTTAAATTCTATGATTATTTATTGTATTATTCAACAACAGGTACTTTGCAGAACATATTTGAATTTGTTATTGTGTAGTGCCAAAGGGAACATCATTGCTCTCAAGGACTTAACCATTGTTAGTTATGTGAATTTTAATTATGAATAGAAGCTATCTTGACTTGCCTCACAGCAGTTTGATGGCTTAGCAGTGGTAAAGTTTTATTGTCATATTTTGAGCTCAAAACCTAGATTGAAATACTTCCAAATGAGAAGAACCAACTTCAGTCACTGTGTTTGAATACTGACTGGCTTTGGAAATTAGCTTTTGCTACAGCCTTGATAATGGTTCTTAATTATTGCAACCTAAGATTGCAAAGCAAAACAGTGTATATATGCAAAACCTATAATGTGGTAAAGTCATTTAGAAAACAACATTGTAATGACAAGTAATTTTTTAAAAAATGCTATAAAAATGAAAACAAGAAACAGAATTGCCATTCCCACACAAATTTGCAGCAGATGCATTATCCAAGCTGAAATTATAGTTCCAGTAGAATTTTTCAGAGCTCAAGGCAAGTGCAAAGGAAATTTCCATGTTTCTAAATCCATTTCACTGTATAATTGAAGAGCTTCAGTCTTTGGAGGTGATTAACTTCCAATGTAATAATACTCTAAAAGGCAAATGCCAAAAGAAGAATCTAATAGAATTTTGTAAATGCCTTCCAGACTAGTGAATATGCTCAATTAAAATCATACGCTTGTGGATTGGTATCAATATTTGGCAGTAACTACCTGTGTGAAAAGATATTTTTAAAAATCAGACATGTAAAATCTCATTACAGATCAGCATTAATGGATTATCATTTGCAATCAGTTTTGATGATAGAGAACACTTAGCTTTGAACCTCAATTAAGTGAAATGTTATCCACCCCCAAAAGTATTCCATTCTTTTCACTGGTAGACTTATATTACAAAAAATTGAACTCAATTATTATATAGGTTGAATATCCCAAATCTGAAAATTCAAAATCTGAAATGCTCCTAAATCCAAAATTTTTTGAATGCCAACATTATACTCGAAATGGTCCTTGGAGCATTTTGGATTTTGGATTTTTGGATTTGGGATGCTCAGCGGGGGTGTATTCTGCAGATATTCCAAAACTAAAAAAAAAATTGAAATCTGAAACACATCTAGCACCAAGCATTTCAGATAAGAGATACTCAACCTGTATTTGAATTTAGTCAATAAAGTTTGTGGAAATTTTGTATTTCTTTCGTATTTCTTAGGCTGGGTGCAGTGGCTCATGCTGTAATCCAGCACTTTGGGAGGCCAAGGCAGGTGGATCACCTGAGTTCAGGAATTCAAGACCAGCCTGGCCAACATGGAGAAACCCTGTCTGTACTAAAAATACAAAAATTAGCTTGGTGTGGTGGTACACACCTGTAATTCCAGCTTGGGAGGCTGAGGCATGAGAATTGCTTGGACTGTGGAGGCAAAGGCTGCAGTGAGCTGAGATCATGCCACTGCACTCCAGCCTGGGTGCCAGAGCAATACCCTGTCTCAAATATCAAAAAGTACGTACTTGATTTTGCTTTTTGGTCCATAAAGCCCAAAATACTTAGTTTTTCCTTTACAGAATAAGTTTACTGACCCTTGGATTAAAGTACAGATGTTTGGCTTGGTCTTATCTAACAAAAAATTACTATTCTCTTTGAAGATGTTAGCAGATTTCTCCCCCTTTTAGTAATAAGTTAGCTAGCACATTAAAGACAGCTTAATCTATTTTGAAAAATTTTTTATAGTAAAATCATCTTTTTATATGTTTGTGTTTCTTTGAATCTTTACATAAATGGTGTACTTTGAGTTGGGTATTCAGGTATTTGTTACCTAGAATTTCAGTGAAGAAGTAATAATTTTATTTATAAATTTAATTAAGTATTAAGAACAGTTATTTACGTTTCATTCGATAACATTTAAGCCATAAGTTCTTCTTTCCATATGGAATAGTGTGTCAATCTGTATTAAATATTTCTAGAGAAAAACTAGAAACTTAAATACATTTGTAAATCCAACATTGACATTCATAAAAGGTATCCTTTGAGATGATTCTTTCTGTTCCACCATGCCAACCTATATAAGCAGGCAAATCTTAGAAATGCTTAATTTTGAAAAGTTATTCATATTTTTTTCCATGTCCCTTCTCAGATTCAATAAGATAGATTTTCAAGGTTTTTTTAAAAAGTCATGCTTACTATCTTCAGGCTTGACTAAGTAAAATATGTACTTATTTCCTTATAAAGAAAGAGAACATTTTTATTACCAGTGTATAAAAAGAGATTTGATACTAATTTTGTAAATTAATGTGGGTGAGGTGTTGAAAGGAAAAAGAAATAGTAGAAAGTAATGTTTCTGAACACATTAAAAAATGTGTGTATATATTTCAATTTAGAAAGGTGCTTTATACTATGTAAAGTCAATTTTTCCCCTAAATGGCTTGTAATATATAACACAGGCAAAAATATGAACTATATGTAGGTGAAGATGGAGATAATTTTTGTCTCTACACATCAGTTAAATTTTGAGACATCCTAAAATGAGAAAGTTTTCTTGTGTTTGCTACCATGTGTCATTTGGCATGATGTTTTCTTGTATCTAAATATCTTAATATTTGATTTAGCTTTTATTGAAATCTTGTTTTCTAGATGAAGCATTGGATGATTTAAAATCCCAGAGGAAAAAAATAGTAAGTTAACTTTTATTTAAAATTAACTTATATTAAACTAATAAGAACTGAATAAATAATGTTTGTGTGTTGGAAGTTAATAACTCTCCAAGGAAGAAATATGCTTTTAGATAGTATTTTAATGATGAAGTGAAATTGTGAATATTTTTGCTAGTTAAAAATGATTGATAGGAAAAAGTAGTTTAAAAGGACTTTTGAGATTCTGAGAGTCTATATCAGTTGGAAGCTGAGAAGTAAGTATTCGAGGCCTAAATGAGGCAGAGAGGGTAAAAAGGTGGGTACCCAGATTGTTTATTAGAGCTAAATACAAAAGGACAAAATATCTCCACATGTCAGTTCTAGGTTTTCTTGACACCAAGAAAGAGAGGGAATCAAGAAGATTAGTTGTAAGAGAAATTCAACATGAAGGTACTGAAGAAGAGATGGGAGAGAGAGAGATGTAATTGTTTTCTTCAGAGTTTTCCACTTTCTGTCAGTAACTCTGATCACATGATATCTATTGTGGGGCTAGTTGATGCATCCCTTCAGATGTGTTGGAAAGAGGACCATGAGTAAGACAGAAGGAGCTCTAAATGTTGATAATATAGTAGTCTGTAATAAGTGAATTGAAGTTGGTATTTGACATAGAGCTACTAATTTTTTAATGTTTATTTTTGAAGTGTGAAAATGTAACTGCTGATAGTATTATGTTGTATAGAAATGTATTTAATAAAATGTAATCAGGTGCAAATGATCAATTTGATACATTTTAGTCTAGTGTGTAACAAGTAATAATTAAGAAACCAATATTGTGAAGGTTAAGACTAACGTTAAAAATTATTCTGTGAATTGGTGATATTAGATACTGGTTTTAAGGGCTTTAAGTACCTGAAAAGTAAGAGGACTTTAATATTGAAAGAGATTCCTTCGCTTTATTTGTTTGCTTCTTATTAGGTGTCCTATAAAGTATTTATCAAAATTGCATTGACAATTTTGGTGGTTCTAAATTGCCAAACACAGAATTATCTTATTATTATATTTCTGCTAGTCTGAACATTATGGAACAGCCAGAAATTCAAAGTGAGAAAATACTGATAGCATCAGTGATTTAGAAGTTGTGATATGATTGGTTTGACTTGCTGATGAGATAAAAGAAAAGCTGGTACTGGTGATCAGAGACAAGTCTTGCTTATACCAAAATGGAGAAATATTAGTTAAAGTAGAAAAGATGAAGAGGAAGACAAAGGAAAGCAGAAAAGAAAAAAATCCTAAGTGATGAGAAGCAGCCCAATGTCACTGGCATCACATGGCCAGAAAACAGGATCTTGAAGAATATATGATTTGGAAAATCTCTCAATAGAGTAACAGAGCCGACTTGGAAAATTGTGAGGAAGGATAAGTCAAGCTATTTACTTTTCAATAGCCTTTAAAGGAATCGCAACATAAAAGATGTTCCATTTTAACTCTGACAACAGTTAAAAAAGTTCAGAGTTCAATAGCTCTGTATGTTTAAATGGTTCATTAGGCATCAGTATTAATAATGCAGTATGGCATTTCTCTTGCAGTATGACTAAAGAAAAATAAGTTGGCTCTAATTCACTTTATTAATTAAACACAATTTGCATTTACTTGATTATTATTGTTGGTTATAATACCGTTTGCTACTGGAACTAGTCTGTGGTCTTGACTGTTCAAGCCTTTAACAGAGCTGCTTTGTTTGAGTAGTTTTACACTTTGGTTTTTTTTTTTTGAGACAGAATTTTGCTCTTGTTGCCCAGGCTGGAGTGCAGTGGTGCAATCTTGGCTCACTGCAACCTCTGCCTCCCAGGTTCAAGTGATTCTCCTGTCTCAGCTTCCCAGGTAGCTGGGATTACAGGCATGCGCCACCACACCTGACTAATTTTGTATTTTTAGTAGAGACAGGGCTTCACTATGTTGGCCAGGCTGGTCACTACTTGATATTTTATTAAAAGTGGTTTCCTTGGGGATGCATCCCTTTAATCTGAATAGATTTGTAATGTAATTTGAAATTTGTAAAATTGTAATTTGTAATGACAGATATGAATTATCAATTGATTAAAAAGTTAAATTAGGAAAAAGCATCTTAACAAGATTTTAAGAGCTTAATGTATTTACTTATTAATATAAAGTTAGGAAGTAATCTTTAGTTATCTAAAAAATTCCCAAGTCTAGATCTGCGTGCATTTTACCACTCACGTATTTTGTGGTCCTTTAACAAAACTTGAGTTTTTAATAATCACTGAGTAATCTGTGCAAGCAGATAATCCCTCTGCATCCATGAGCATTCCTTCAAAACAGTTCAGAAATCAAGCTCTACCAAAATACATGAGTCAAGATTACCTCTTTAAATGACTTCATGAAAATTTTGTGCTTTTTTCAGAATAGTAGTCCTATGTGGTAATTTCTAGCGTTCCTTGGGAAATCTGTGTTTTTCTGAATCCTGAGAAAAATCACTTGAGAAATTGGGAACATGAGGAAAAGTGTTATACTTCCCTGAGAATTAAAGCTTAACAATCAACTACAGATGTTACTAGTTCAAAGGAATTCACTAATGTCAGCTGAAGGCAAGAGCAAGAAATTCTGACATTCTGAGTTACAGGTTAATGTTGACATTTCTGGGAGCAGTACAGAATCATACAGAAGTGGTACAATGTAATCATTTAGTCTTGTGGGCATTTATGGCACTCTCTTATTAATGGTGAGTCATTCTTGCAAATAAAAATGTTTATATACCTACTATAATTTATATAAATGTATAAAGTATACTTTGTACAAATCCTATGCATGATATTCCATGAAATAAGTTTTGGAAGCAAAAGAAGTCCTTAAATTGGCAAATTTAGCTTTTATTCTCTATAGAGTCGTTAACCTTATTGTGGCTTCAAATGTTACATTTTTATATTACTCAGTAATATTTTCTGGCTTTTCCCAGTGTTTGAATATTCACTTTAGGCTACACAGTAACAGAAAAAATGCAAAGAAGAAAGATGTGACTATTATTGTGGAATACTCTTATATGAAAGCAGAAAATGATATAACATCTGAATTAGTAAAAACATCATTAATTTCAACAGCAAACCCCAAATCAGGGATACCAGACAGTATTTTCAGCATGATAAAATGATGAGTTTATATGGTGTAACATGCTCCTTAATACTCTGAATTGCAAAATCAATGCAAAATGAAAGAAATGAAAGAAAGTTTTCTTACATCTGGAGTATTTTTCACAAATAAATGTTGGTTAGGGAAATTAATGATTTGTGTGTTTTAAAATTCTGTTTCGAGAATAATTTTAGTATGAAATATTTGTAGAATTATCTTTCAAAACTTAAAAAAATTTTTTTGACATTTATTTTTGTGCTAGTATGCACAAAATAAGTTTTGTGCACTTTTTTTGCTCTTGTTGCCTTTTACCTTTTAATGTTTTCTATGATGTAATGGTTGTATCAAGTAGAAATAATTTTTACATGTCATAGAAATAACAGTCTCATCACAATGTTGACTCTTAATATAATCATGTATTTATTATTCTATCTTTTAAAATAAAAAAGCCCCTAAAACTTTTAGTACAACTGTATTACAGAAAAATGATTCATTCTTTACACTAACACTAATGATAGCCGATAAGCTCAAAAATAAAAAATTGCAAAAAAAAGTTATAGTGTTTTAAAGTTTACGAATTTGTGTTGGGCTGCGTTCAAAGCTGTCTTGGGCCACATGTGGCTGGTGGCTAAGGGTTGGAGAAGCTTGATTTAGAGAATTCTCAAGAATTCTAGTTTCTTTTTCCTGAATCTTGAGGTTCATATGTTGAGTTTTTGGAAATAGTTTGTTTCAGGCCCATTCTGAGTAACTGAGGTGTCACTGAAAATTATGTTAATATTTTAGGCACTGTTGTGGACTCTTTCTCCTATATTATATATTTTTAAAATTGCACAGTAGTGCTATGAAGTATTAAAATATCTATACAGAGGAGAAACTGAGGCTGACAGATGTGCTAACAGTCTTCCTAAGAATGGAAATGTGCATTGAACCCAGATCTTTTCTCACTTTGAAGTTTCAAGTTCATGTTCTTTCCACTGAACAGTGTATTTAAAACATATTATTACTTAAATGTTGTATGGATGTGTGTTAATTAAGCTATTATGTGAAAATATTTTGTTAGAAATAAATGTAAAAAATGGGAGATAGATTTGCATCTTTTAGTACTTAAAAATTATTTTATTTAAGATAAATAAAAACATAGACACACTTGAATACTTGCTGAATAATCTACCAGGAATGCAGTCATTCGATAAAGTAGCATTTTGATTTGGAGTTTTGTTTGTTGTTTTAAAGATCACAGTTTAATCTTTTTAAACCTAGTAGTAGTTTTAGAGTTATCTGTCCAAATCAGTATTGCTGTTTACATTTACATTATTTAAAATGAAATAAAACTACAGGCTGGGTGCAGTGGCTCACACCTGTAATCCCAGCACTTTGGGAGACTGAGGCAGGTGGATCACTTGAGGCCAAGAGTTCGAGACCAGCCTGGCCAATATGGCGAAACCTCATCTCTACTAAAAATACAAAAATTAGCCAGGTGTGGTGGCACGCATCTGTAATCCTAGCTACTTGGGAGGCTGAGGCAGAGAATCACTTGAACCTGCGAGGTGGAGGCTGCAGTGAGCCGAAACCATATCACTGCACTCCAGCCTGGGTGACAGAGTGAGACTCCATCTAAGACAAAACGAAGCGAAACAAAACAAAAGTACAAATTCAGTTCCCCTGTTGCACAAGCAACATTTTAAGTGCTCATTTATCACATAGGGCTTAGTGGCTACTATTATGCTGACATAGACCGTTTTTGTCATTGCCTAAAGTTTTACTGCACAACACTGCTAGAACATCAAAAGTCTACTGTGTAGTGATCAGGGATTTGTTTCTTTGATATTCCATGTAGATTATGTTGGTTTGGGGATGTATTTTATTATGCCCTCTTTCCACCCCCGTTCCTAGTTTCTCTTTTTTTCCTAACCCTAAAGTGATACTATAAACATCTCCTTTACATCAGAAAAATCAACTTGCTTATTTTGAGAATTTATCATAATTTTGCAATAGGAAAATATTTTAGTTTCATTAAACCAAGGTAAGGCTAATAAATCATTCATCTAAGTACCTACTTCTTAAATGTTGAATTGAGTGTTTAATGAGGAATCTGTTAACTGCTATTGTGGCAGCGTATTTTTAACTCAGTAAATGTGCTCTGGGTTGCATTTTAAAATAAATGTCCTTTGGAATGAATATGACATTTAATCTAAGTGGTTATCAGTGGTCACTGAGAAAGAAAAGGTTCTTTTCCAATTTTTGCAAAAGCATTTTATCCTACACATTAGGTAATTTGTCATAACTATGACTGTCTTGTACTAAAGTTCAACCTTTTTCTGATGTTGAACTAGCCGTAACTGCTCATGATACTTTACTAGCGATTGTATTTTAAGTTAAACCCGTGTATTAAGTTATAAAGTGACTTGAGTGCATGGTAAATAGAATGCTACAATAATGAAGTGATTTAATTATAGTCCCTAGTGTGAACATAGAACTCAGTAAAATTTTTACTTAAATTCTGTGCTCAGTTGTTTCTCTAAAGTTGTTTGAGTCTAAGTAAAAAAGAGATGAGGGTTATCTTTTAAAGTCATTTGAACAAATTCCATGGCTGTTCTCCCAGTTAGTGCGTTTTCACTGCATTTGCAGCAAGCTAATTGCTTCTGCTAATAAATAATCTAAAATCGATGCTGACAGCAGTTAATTGGCACAGAGATTTTATTTTGTAAAGCTCTTGGCTAACGACCTTCTTTAAATTAATAGCATTAAGTGCTATGAGGAAATAAATCTAAGGAATTGCCTGTCATTTGCTTGTCATGTCTAATAACTTCCAATAATGATGGCTGATAGATTTTTGCACATTCCATTATTGAAGTTGGTGCATGTAATTATTCTCCTCATTATATGTAAACAATTAGCAATATTTGGTATTTCCTCACAGTAAAGCTGTTAAGTACAAGTAACATTAGAGGTTAGAAGCCATTTTAAAATCTGGATTTTAATTATTCGAATGTAGGAAGTCTTTCATTCTATTTGGATATGTTAAGGATATTTAAACCTTTTTGAATAGGACTTATAAAAATAAGTAGTGTGTGTTTTGAAATGTGACAATTTATGGAAATTTTTGTTCGTAGCTTGAAGAAGTCATGGAAAAAGAAACTTACAAGACGGCTAAATTAATACTTGAAAGGTTTGATCCAGACTCAAAGAAAGCAAAGGTAAGACTGTGATATAACTACTATTTTATTATAAATTACACATTGTAATAGGTCAGTGTAATAACATTATTATAATTGACAGGAGTGTGAGCCGCCATCTGCTGGAGCAGCTGTAACTGCAAGACCTGGACAAGGTAAATAGCTTTGTAGAAACTGCTGCTGCTGTTGGAAAGATCCATATTTACCCAAGTGAGTTCAAAAGTGTGTTGGAGGTGTGCAAAAACTTATGTAGAATGCTTCTATGTAGATTTATATTTGGTAATTTGGGATATGACTTAGGGTGGATAGCAATAATTTTATTTCATTTTGATTTTATGGGAATATGTTGTTAGGATATCAAATATGTGTTGAGATTAAATATATGATTGGTTTTAATCTTTTAAAATTTAAGTAATTTCATCAATATTTTGTAAATATTTCCCACTTTCAAATAATAATCTCTTGGAATATCTGTTATGAAAATCCTTACATTTTATGTTTTATTTTTGAAAAATGTTACGATTTCTGTGAAATTTTAAGTTTCTTCTAAAATAACACTTAAGAATAGAATAAAATAATTTAGAAATAAGAAAAATGAAAATTGAATTATCGCTATATTATGTTAACTCTTTATTTTTGAGGTTGTATTACCATATTATTAATGAAGTCATTGCTATTACATCATTAAATGTTATATAAAATTTTAACAGTCATTCTATTAAGTGGTTACATAAAATATTCCCAAGACTGGCATGAGAAAAGATATTCTGAGTTTGCAATGACTTTTGTCTTTGTTCTTTTCTTTAATAATATAGTTTGTAAGGGTTTTGTTGCAATATAGAATGTTACTTTTAAAAATTTAACTTCAATTTTTGCAGCCCCCCAGAATTATAACCTACTTTGTAAAGGTAGGATGACATTTAGACCTTTGAATGGAAATCTTTTTATAAGTATTCACAAATATCATGGATATTAAATAAGTCATAATAATTTTAGGTTTTCCAGTTGGCAGGGCTATATGGGAAGAATTCCCTCCACCTCCACGTTTTCCATAAGTAGGATTTTGGTTCATAGAAATATTAACTTTTTTTTTTGTTGTGAAGCCTTCACTTTTGCAAAAAGTAGAAGTTCACATATGATTAAAATGAATTAGGCATATATACTTGCAATGAAACTCCTACTTTCATAACCAGTTTAAAGTTTTCTACAATGTATATACTTTCTAGTAAATACAAAAACATTTTTTGGCCTATAAGGCAGATTTCTATAATTTCTAAAGCATTTTGTATAACTGGAACTAATTTTTCAAGAATATCTATATCTATCTATCTATCTATCTATCTATCTATCTATCTATCTATCTATCTATCTATCTATCTATCAAGAGACAAAGTCTCGCTCTGCCCCCTAGGCTGGAGTGCAGTGGCACAATGTCAGTTCACTGCAACCTTGGCTTCCCTGGTTTAAGCGGTCCTTCCACCTCAGCCTCCCAAGTAGCTGGGATTACAAGCATGCGTCACCACACCTAGCTAATGTTTGTATTTTTAGTAGAGATGGAGTTTCACCACGTTGGCTCAGCTGGTCTTGAACTCCTGACTTCAAGTGATCTGCCCACCTTGGCCTCCCAAAGTGTTGGGATTACAGGCATGAGCCACCATGTCCAGTCAAGAATATTTTTTAGTTAAACTCGTAGAAGCAGAGAGTAGAAATATTATTTCTAGGGGTGGAGAGCAGGGATGGGAGAAATGGGGGAAATGTTAGTCAAAGGATATAAAATTTCAGTTATTTAGGTGAATAACTTCAGGAGATTTAAGTACAGCATGGTGAGAATACTAATACTGTGTTGTATACTTGAAATTTGCTAAGAAAGTAGATCTTGTGTTCTCAGCACACATACACACACGCGCGCACACACACACACACACATAAAGGTAACTGAGTTTTTGGATTTGTTAATTAGCTTGACTATAGTAATCTTTTCCCAATGTATAAAATACTTTAAAAATGTCCTTAGTGAATGTATTTTTAAAATGTGATATTTTGTAGAAAACTGTTGTTATTACTTTTTACTAATATATGTTCTGTCTTATTAAAGAACAAAATTATGATACCCTTTACTAACATTCTTCAGTATTTATTATATTTAGGCAACATAATTATTTTAAAAATCTGAATTTATCTTTTCTTAGTAAAGTTTGAAACCCAAATAATTTTTTTCCTTCTGATGTCATATTGAAATTATAGAAAAATGATTGCTGATCTCTCTAGCAATCATTTTTCTATAATCCATGCTTTGGATTCCTGTGACTTTGCTTTTCGATATTCTTTTAGGAAGAATTAACATTTAGGTATAATATTGAATAACTGTGATGTGCAGACAATATGGGAATAAAGAAATAAATAACATGGTTTTTGACCTTAAGCTTATGGCCTAATTATTTTATTTTAAAAAATACTTCTTCTGGTGTACACTGTTGTAGTGTTCATTGTTCTTCCAAGTATGTAGTAATTAATTGCTGTTTGGAATTTTTTCTTAACTTAAAAAAAATTCTAAATTATATCCCAGCTTTATTCTACTTTTTGAAAATTATACTTTAGTTTTGTGTTTAATTTACTTGTTTTGAATATCTCTTAGTTCCTATCATTTCTATAGGTGACTTAGTCATTAATTTTGTTTAATTTCCGTATTTCTGTGAGTTTGAAGTCAGGTCTTTATTTTTTTGCCAAACCACTGTTCTCTCTTTTTCTTATTGTTTTTAGAATTTAGCGTGTTTCTAAACTTAAACAATAGAAAGTGGAAAACAAATACTAAAAGATACATGTATGTACCTATGTGCCCTTGAAAAGATCTTTCCAAAATGAATCTGATTGTGATATCCTTATCTTAGTAACTCTCCTGCATGATTACTGAACCAGAACTTTGAGTCATGTGTACTAGGCATCTTTCTTTTTATTTTTTGTTATTAAGTTGTTCATGATGGATATTATTGATTATAAATTTTGAGGATAGTATTCTTTGATTTGCTAAGGTTTAACACTAAAAGGAGTATCATGTTTACCAATTGCTCTAAACTAACCTAGTCCCTCCACTCTCACCCCTTAATAGACTTTATTTTTTAGAATAATTTTAGATGTATACAAAAATAGCAAAGATAATATAAATACTCCCACATACTCTTGTGCTGAGTTTCTCTTATATTAACATGTGGTACATTTGTTACAGTTTGATGCTTTATTGTTAACTAAAGTCCATAGTTTATTCATATTTCCTTAGTTTTTATCTGATGTCTTTTTAGTTCTAGGATCCCATCCAGATACAGCATTGCCTTCTGTTGTCTTGTCTTCTTAGGCTTCTTTTGGCTCTGACATTTCTCAGACTTTCCTTGTTTTTAATGACTTTGACAGTTTTGCCCCAACTCTTTTCTATAAGGAATTTTTATCTATGGGTGCTTAATCTTAGAAAATCAGGGCCATCACTTGATATGAAGGAATAACCAAACATAAAAGTAAATATATGTATATATTCACATTAAATGGCATTATTTTCTGCTTAGATGCTTAGTATTTTAGTTCTGTAGAAATTATAGACTGGGAGATGGGAAGACTTAATGTCTTTAGTAGATTAAAATGTAATAGTTTGGATGTAAATGAAAAATAGAATTTGCCACAGTATGAATTCCTGAATAGTTTCTATAGATTTCTAAAGAAATCTAGATATTTGGAGCTGGTGAAAATTAAACTTGTCTTTAAGATTTTGATTGGTATACAGAACTAAATTTCATTTTTATGCACTAGTGTCTGATTTATTCTTCTTTTTTTTTTTTTTCAATGCATGTTTACTGAGTGTCTGCTATCTGCCAGGTACATTTTAGGCCCTGGTGATACAGTAGTGAACAAAACAGTTAAAAACATTTCTCTCCCTTTGTTGGGAGTGAGGAGATAGCCAGTAAATTACTGTTAGGAGAAAATAAAGGATGGTGAATAGGGAGTACCTTGAGTGAGGGCAGGTTGAAATTTAAAATAGGATTGTCAGGGAACACCTCATTGATAAGGTGACATTTGATGAAAGAAATGAGAGTATGAACCTTTTAGATATCTGAGGGAAGCACATTCCAGATAGAGGAATCAGTAAGTGCAAAGACCCTGAGTGAAGAGCATGTCTGGAGTGCTGTAGAATAGCAGGGAGGCCTGTATGACTGGACTAGACTGAGCAAGGGGGAGATTAGGAAGAGTGGCAGTGAGAAAAGTAACAAGTAAAAGTAACGTCTCATGTAGGGCCTTGTAGAATGTGGACCATTGCAAAAACTTCAGTTCTCAATTAGGTTTTTTTTTTTTTTTCTAAGAAATTTTGTTTTGTTTTGAGCAGAGTATTGACATGGTCTTAATTATGTCTTAAAAGGAAGTCTACTGTATTGAGAAGAGGCTACAGAGGGAGCAAAAGTGAAAGCAGGAAGATTAATTAGGAAGCTACCACAGTAATGTCGGAAAGCATTTGATGATGGCTTAGACCAGGGATATCCAATCCCTAGGCTACACTGGAAGAATTGTCTTGGGCTACATATAAAATACACTAACACTAATGATAGCTGATGCTAAAAAAAAATAAATCTCATAGTGTTTTCAGAAAATTTGCAAATTTGTGTTTGGTTACATTCAAAGCCATCCTGGGCCACAAGCAGCCTGTGGGCCATGGGTTGGACAAGCTTGGTTTAGACCTTGGATAGTAATATTGGAAGTGGTTTTTAAAAATAATTAACTAGGCCAGGCATGGTGGCTCATGCCTGTAATCCCAGCACTTTGGGAGGCCAAGGTGGGTGTATGACTTGAGGTCAGGAGTTCAAGACCAGCCTGGCCAACATGGTGAAACCCCGTCTCTACTAAAAATATAAAAATTAGCCAAGCGTGGTGGCGGCTACCTGTAATCCCAGCTACTCGGGAGGCTGAGGCAGGAGAATCGCTCGAACCTGGGAGGTGGAGTTTGTGGTGAACCGAGATTGTGCCACTGCACTCCATCCTGGGCAACAGAGCAAGACTCTGTCTCAAAAACAAATGATTTGTTTATATTTTTTAAAACTTAATTTCCTCTTACTTTCTCTTCACCCCAGGTTAAGGTGATTTATGAAATAGTCAGATTCTGTATATATTTTTAAAACAG